CAACGTCATAGTCTGTGGACACAGACAGGAGGACAACGTCAACGTCTCAGCTTGGACATTTTTCACAACACATAAACTGAACATTGGTGAAAACTACGGTTCAGTTCCTCCACAGGTCACGTCTGACTCTCACTACAGCAGCTGAAGAACATCTAGTCACACTACACTTCTTTGGACTCCTCATCCATCCACCTTCCATCCCTCCTCCACACATCCATCCATCCATCCATCCATCCTCCACACATCCATCCATCCTCCACACATCCATCCATCCTCCTTCCATCCATCCATCCATCCATCCATCCTCCATCCTCCACACATCCATCCATCCATGCTCCTTCCATCCATCCATCCATCCTCCATCCATCCATCCACCTTCCATCCCTCCTCCATCCATCCATCCATCCTCCACACATCCATCCATCCTCCTTCCATCCATCCATCCATCCATCCATCCATCCATACATCCATCCATCCATGCTCCTTCCATCCATCCATCCATCCTCCATCCATCCATCCACCTTCCATCCCTCCTCCACACATCCATCCATCATCCATCCATCCATCCTCCACACATCCCAGTTTTAGACTCTCAGACAATGAACGATGCAGTTGAGGTCATTCTCATCCAGCCTTGTGTGCAGCACTCTGTCTGATCTGAAGGATGAGTATCTGCTACTACCACACCAAGATTAGCTCAAGCCCAAGTTTATGTGTAAAATAAATATTTTTTAATAAGTATGTCCAGTGGTTCTCACGCAGACCAACCAGCCAGCATGCAGTCATGACCATGGAGTCATGCACCCGACTCATAGCCCCTCCTGCAGGTGGTGGGCCCACAGGAAGCCCCATGGGTAGAGAGCCGCTCATCAGGCCCTCACTTTGTTGTGATTGTTGCTAAATAAATAAAGTGGCTTGAACCAGTGTCCTCCAGCGTATACACCAGCATCTTGTTTTCATCGTTTGCAGAAATCATATGATGAACATCAAGTAATAAGTAAAGCATCCCATGTGAGACGTTTTATAAAACTGTGGACCATATTTCAGATCTGTAAAAACAGGAATGAAGGAAAACCTCCACCTACCCCCCAGTGGACCCCGGACAACTTCCAGAGCTTCTACATACTTTCCCAGTTGCTCCAGGATCATAAAGTACAGCTGCACCTGCAAACACATAAAACCATGAACCATGAGTAAGTGTTCGACCAGGAGGACGTTATTCCGTTTTAAATAATAAAAGCAGTTTCTATAAATTGTTATTTATATAAAATGACTGTGGTCACTCCTCCTTGGATCACCACCTTATCGTGGTGGAGGAGTTTGTGCGCCTGAATGATCCTTGGAGCTCTGCTGGGGGGCTGGTGGGGTCTCCAGAGGCAGACTGGTTCTAGGTGACAGGTCTAAGAGCGATAACAAAAACTGACATGGACAGAAACAGCAGAGCTCTGTGTCCCTTTCCCAGACCTGGGTTACTGGGGCCCCACCCTGGAGCCAGGCCTGGGGGAGGGGCTCGTCAGTAAGGGCCTGATGAGCGGGTCTCTACCCATGGGGCCCGGTCGGGCTCAGCCCGAAGGAGCAACATGGGTTTGCCTTCCTGTGGGCCCACCACCTGCAGGAGGGGCCATGAGTCGGGTGCATGACTCCATGGGCAGTGGCTGAAGGCGGGGGCTTGGTGCTCTGACCCACACTTACCAAAGCTGCTCTTGGGACATGGACCGTGACCTCTGGGGGGGAGGAGCCTGAACTTGTGCGTGAGGCTGAGAGGTACCGACCAGATCTAGTTGGGCTCACCTGGACGCACAGCATGGACTCTGGAACAGATCTCCTGGAGAGGAGCTGGACCTTGTTCCACTCTGGAGTTGTCCATGGTGAGAGGCACCGAGCTGGTGTGGGTCTACTCTTAGCCCCCCCCCCCCCCCCCCGACTTGGTGCCTGTGTGTTGGAGTTTTCCCTGGTAGATGAGAGGGTGTCTTCTCTGCACCTTTGGGTGGGGGGACGGGCTCTGACTGTTGTTTGTGCTTATAAGCCAAACAGCAGTTTAGAGTATCCGGCCTTCTTGGAGTCCTTGGCAGGGTACTGGAAGGTGCACCAGCTGGGGACTCCTTTATTCTTCTGGGGGACTTCAGTGCCCACGTGGGTAATGACAGTGTGACCTGGAGGAACGGCCTCTGATCTGAACCTGAGCGTGTTCTGTGGTTGGACTTCTGTGCTAGTCATAGCTTGTCCATCACGAACACCATGTTCCAACATCAGGGTGTCTATAAGTGCACGTGGCACCAGGTGGACCTAGGTCGTAGATGATGATTGACTTCACAGTCGTGTAATCTGATTTGCAGGTGTTTGTTTTGGACACTCGGGTGAAGAGAGGAGCAGAGCTGTCAGCTGATCACCACCTGGTAGTGACTTGGGTCAGATGGTGGGGGAAGATGTTGGACAGACAGATGCTGTTAGATCCAAATGAGTCGTGAAGGTTTGCTGGGAACACCTGGCAGAAGAACCCGTCAGCAAGATCTTACCATACCATACCATACCAATTTATTTATAAAGCACTTTAAACAGTGACAAAGCACACCAAAGTGCTGTACAGGGACAAACAGAACAAGCACACAGCAACAGATTACATAACAGGACACCAAAAACGTAGAAACCGACAAAAACAATAATGGATAACAACAACAACTGCAACATGACCAACACAGTGTGATGCACACAGACTCAGCACAGATCACACTGTGCAGAAAGCCAGGGAATAAAAGTGTGTTTTTAAGCGAGATTTAAAAACTGTGAGGGAGGGGGCCTGTCTAACGAGCAGAGGTAACTTATTCCAAAGTCTTGGTCCTGCTACAGAGAAGGCCCTGTCACCTCTGCGCTTGAGACGGGTTCCTGGGACTGTGAGGAGCAACTGGTCTGCTGATCTGAGAGAACGTGGTGGGACATACGGCTGGAGCAGATCAGTAAGATAGGAGGGGGCAGAGCTGTTTAGTGATTTATAGACATACAAGAGTATTTTGAATTTGATTCGAAGGTGAACCGGAAGCCAGTGTAGGGAGGCCAGAACAGGTGTAATCTTCAACTCACACCTCAGAGAACTTTAAGTGCATCCCAGCTGAGGCGGGGACACTGAGTCTGAGTGGACCATGATCCACGACTGAACTGTTGAAGTGGCTGCCTTGAGCTGTGGCTGCAAGGTTGTCGGTGCTTCTCATGGTGGCCATCCAGGAACTCGGTGGTGGACACCCCGAGTTAGAGAGACCGTCAAGCTGAAGGAGGAGTCCTATCAGTCCTTGTTGGCTGGTGGGACTCCAGAGGCCCTGAGGAGTACCGGAGGACCAAGCGGTCCGCAGCCTTGGCTGTTTCTGAGACAAAAGTTCAGACGTGGGAGGAGTTCAGTGAGGCCTGAGATGAAGACTCCATCAGCTCAAGCTGCTGCCCCCGAGACCCGACTTTGGAACAAGCAAAGTAAGATAGGAAGGATGGAAGGAAGGATGGAAGGAAGGATGGAAGGATGGAAGGAAGGAAGGAAGGAAGGATGGAAGGAAGGATGGAAGGATGGAAGGAAGGATGGAAGGAAGGATGGAAGGAAGGAAGGATGGAAGGAAGGATGGAAAGAAGGATGGAAGGAAGGAAGGATGGAAGGAAGGATGGAAGGAAGGATGGAAGGAAGGATGGAAGGAAGGAAGGAAGGATGGAAGGAAGGATGGAAGGAAGGATACTGTGGTCACAAAATGACCGTATAGTGAGATTCAAACAAAAATCACTTCTAAAAGTCTAAACAGGAGAAAAGACTAAATTTACTAAAAGGTCTCCAGAGCAGTCCAGGTGACCTGACTGAACATTGTTGGATTTACACCTGGATTACTGAGCAGGAACTTCAGGGTCTCTGAAGTTTGGTTTGAGCAACAGTTACTGCTGTAACAGGCATTTGAATTAAAACATTAAACGTCACAAGCAGAAGCGTCTGGAAGCAGAGTGTCTGAAAATGCACCGTCACCTCAGCTTCTGCTTCGATCTTCTCCTCCTTCACCATCTTCTCCACCATGCGCTCAGCCAACGGCAGGAACATGGTTTGGGACAGTTTCTCCTCTTTGGCTGAGATGGCCTTGACAAGAAAAAAACATCTGGACATGGGTTTTCAGGTAACGGTGATGTTTTAGAAACTGACGGAAGGTTTCATCATACCTGCATAACCAGACTCATGACAGACCAGAAGTAATACGGATTTTTAGGAACGATTTTGTACAAGGCCATTCCTGCCTGCGGACATGAAGATGAAACTGATTCACACTGAGCTTCAGTTTGGTTGCTCATAAAAACAAAAACAGAACAAACAACAACAAGCACCCGTCAGCCACGTTTGTGTGTTCTCACACCTGCTGCATCTTCTTGTACTCTCCCACCCGAGCGTAGGCCATGAAGAGGTGGGAGTGGTACTCCTCGCTGAGAGGAACCTTCCTTACGGCGGCCTCGTACAGCTTGGTGACCAGCTCGGCTGAAAGGACAGGAGCAGCGTTTACCTGGAGGTCACAGGAAGCTCACCTGCCTGCAGCGGGCGGCGCTCCACACTTACGGCGATGCATCTCCCTGTACAGGATTGTCAAAGCCTGAAGAGAGTTGTCGTCGGTGGGCTCCAACGTGGCCACCTCCTGGGCCAGAGTGAAAGCTTCATCCTGCCTCCCCGTCCGCTGAAGACCGATAGCCTTTAAGACCTGAAGGTGGGGGCAACAAAAAGAAACACAGGTGAACCACATCACAGCAACTCTGAGTCCGTCTGTGAGACGGAGCTTACAGGACCGTTCAGAGGAACCGAAAACAACTCATGGAGAAACTCTGGACCGGCTCAGTTCACGCTTATAAACATGTAAGAAACATGTAAGGAAGAAAATACAACGAGCAACTTTATCCACCACCAGGAGCAGTGGTGGAGCCAGGGGGTGGCCAGGGGTGGCCTTGGCCACAACAGATTAATCTTCGACCACCTCAATCATTGGAGGAAGATGGAACGTTGCTCATTTAGAAAAGGTTTCCAGTTCAGACGCCAGACAATAAGATATTTATTGTCCCAAGTTTGCTCCATGAAAGGGACAATAAACTTCTACCTGAAGACATTGTGTCTTCTTATAACATCAAGTCAGTCCTGACACGTCTGACTGACATGAAACCAAACATCAAGTCCATCCTGACACGTCTGACTAACATGAAACCAAACATCAAGTCAGTCCTGACACGTCTGACTGACATGAAACCAAACATCAAGTCAGTCCTGACACGTCTGACTGACATGAA